GTTCTGGTCCATGCCTGCCTTTTACCTCCTGTCTCACAAGTTCCCGTGATACTCCGCTCCAGGGACCCACCTTTCTGGTGGCTTCCAAGACCCTGGGGGCAGTCTTCCCCAATCTATCTTGAACAGGGGGGGGTCCGCCATGCTTCGATTTACGAGGTGGTATGAAATATTCATCACTGAAAATTCTTCCCATTTAACTAAAAGTACAACACCCCACTTTTACCTTTAAAAAAGAAATCTAATTTATTGCTCAGAAGAGAAAGAAAGAATGCATCCGTAAGGGAAACTGATCAAATAACACACCGTGGAAGCTAGAAGCTACTGATAAACTAAAGAATTTATTATCCAAAATACAGAGCAATGAGAAATTGTTGATTTATTTAAGGTTTTTGTATTAATTTTCAGTAAAAGAGGTTCTGGAAAAAAATTGCTTCTGTGTATATTGGCCCAACTTCCCAGCAGACTGTGTCAGGGCACTAGCTATCATCGTTCCTATTCTAAACATGGTTGGCTGTCAGGTACCCACCAAGCCACTCTATTACTCTCCCTCCTCAGCAAGAAGGGGAAATAAAATAAGCTTATGGGTCGAGATAAAGACAGGGAAATCACTTATCAGTTAACAACATGGGCAAAACAGATTCGACTTAAGGAAATTATTTATTGACAATTAAAAAATAGAGTAGGATAGTGAGAAATAAAAACAAATCTAAAACCACCTTCCCCACCGCTCCCTTTTTCCCAGGCTCAACTTCACTCCCAACTCTTCGATCTCCTCCCCTACTCCAAGCAGCACCCTCCCAGGTGCAGAATCTGGCTTTTACCTTTGTTAAGCTTCATATGGCTGGTGATTGCACAGCCCTCTAATTTGTCGAGGTCTCTCTGCAGGGCTTCCATGCCTTTGAGGGAGTCAACAGCTCCTCCCAATTTTGCATCATCAGCAAACTTATTTAGTATCCCTTCGAGTCCTGCGTCCAAGCCATTTATGAAGTTGTCGAAGAGCACTGGGTCTAAGATGGAGCCCTGCAGAACCCCACTAGTGACAGGTTGCCAGTCTGATGTTACCCCATTCACTAATAATTTGTGCCAATTGCTCACCCACCTGTGGCAGGATGGCCTACCCCAATAAGGCCTAGAATCCTATCAGAGAATGCATACAATGCAAGCTATCATGCAAGCTATCATGCAAGTTCTACTGACGGCACCAGGGTGCTGTTTTGGTGTTGAATTATGCTAAAACCAGCCTGGTTCACCAAACTGCAAACACACATCCTGCTTTTTGAAGCAGGATTTGACAGATAAGCTAGTTGCTGGTCAGTAAATCTATGACTACCAGTCCATCACTTTATAACTATAAAAGCCCAGTCCAACTTCCATATGGCAGACTCTTCCACATACTTCCTTGAAGGGTGGAGCTTCTCCCGTGAAGCAGGGGAGCTTCTTCATAGTTACTCCCTGGGGGTTAAGAGAAAGAGAGAGATCTGCTAACTATCTTGTATGGTGATTTATATCAATCTCTACTTAATGATTGTTTCTTTTTCTAGCTTTGATACAATTGTTTTAATACAATTGCTTTGATACAGTGCACTATACTACTTTATGCTATATTATACTCTACTAGCAGGTTTTTAGCTTTTACACTGTGTAGTAAATAATTCTGATTAAGATCTTTTGTCTGTTCACTTGTCTGTTCATTTGTCATAATAAATAATTCATTTTATATAAATATATCTGATTTTCCATCATTAAAACCTGCAGGACAAAGTGATTTAATCACACCTATATAATTCCTTAAATTTAAACCTTTGACAGAATCCGAGGCTGAGATAGGATTCAGCCGCACCTAAACTCCTCTCTGAGAAGGAGTTTAGAAAGCAAGGGAGTGCTTTCTGCACCTCGTGACTCAATGGTAGGACTTTTTTAATAATTTTGTCTAAGCCTTCCACTCCCACCTGTGACACTGTGGGAACAAGTTAAGCCAGTAGCACCTGCATTCAGTTAATTAGGATCAAAAAGGAGTGTTTTTGCCTTGATTGGTGTTTTTGATAAAAAGAGTGCTGTGTTCTCAAAGTGGGAAACCACTTAAACAGTCTGCATGATAGCGTGTGTTTTTCTTTCATGGCTGAACACAGCCATCACATGATGCGAGGTGAATGTGTGGGATCAAAGCGCTGGATTAGGACAATCCTGGGAATTTTGGTTAACTGAATGACAACACCAGGCGCTGTTTACAAAGGAACCCTTATAAAAGGGGAAGGCCAAAAAAGATCAATGGACAAATCCCAAAATCGACTTCTGCATGGTGTGCAGCTCCTTTTGCTTCAGCTCCCATATTTGCCATACGACACCACTGCATGATGTATTTATCCAGCTGTGTGCTGGAGATTTTGCCCAGAAGGATCCTGTAAGAGACAGTATCAAAAGCTTTACTGAAGTCCAAAAATATTACATCAACTGCCTTCCTGTCCTAGTTACAGGGGTTGTAACCAGTTTATTACTATATGGGTATAACCATAACTGTGTATTCTACACGCTCTATGTCATTTCCGATGGACAGTTCATAAATGGATCAATTGCAGCAGCTGCCCAGGGCACACCTGACACCTCAGGCTACAAGCTGGGTGTTAGAAAAGCCCTAAGAGGCAGGGGAGTGTTTCTTTGTCTTCACACTAATGACTCAGCTGTGATAACTCCCCTCCAGGGAGGCATTAGTACCTTCTCACCCAGCCCAAAGGGTTATCTCTGCTAATGGGCCGTAATGGACTGGCATAATAGGCAGCTGCAACCTAGACCATCAAAGATTCCAAAAATATCCCATGTGGTGCTCAGCACAGGGGCTAATGAACACTGTTCGGTTCTTGTCCCAGGGTGCTGGGTTATACATCTGTCTTTGTGGGTTAAAATCAGTTTCCTCTGTATCTTTGTATTTATTGTAATCTGTAGGAACCCAAACTCAGCTGTCAGCAGAAAGGAGCTTAATGGGCTTGAGCCATAAACCTTGGAAAACAGGGTCTTAGAGGAATCCCGTAACCTGAAGGACTGGACCTTCCTCACAAGATCTGTTGAAGTTCAACCATATGGATTAGCCTGGCTCTTGCAGCAAAATAAGAAAGGACTTTGAGATGATTTTATCAGACCGTGTTTAAACCCCTTAATCCTCTTCCCCCCCATATAATCTTGGTTGAGGGAAATATTAACCCATTGGGTAACTGTTGTAAAAACTTGTGTAATTCCACAACTAACATAGTTCATCCTCCTCATTAACATGTCCAACCCCCAAAGTCCTTAAATAAAGTATTCCAGTTTCTACCCCATACCTGGAATCGCTTAGTTATTGACTCTCCACTGTAATCTTTTTAGTAAATTGTAACTCTGACTTGTAGTCTCTCTTGAGTTGGGTTCATTTCTCCCACCAGTTTACTTTTAAACCAGCACACTTCCCTTGATCAACTAGGTGGGTTACTGTGGGAAGAAGACTGGGGGTATAATTAAAGTAGAAAGTTAGAGACACAGTTATAACAATACGGAAATTATAGGGGGGAAATGTGGTTGCTACTCCCTGGATGGAACACAGTCAACATGCCCAACTTCCCACACACAATAAAATCTAAGGGGGACTAAATGGAGGATGGAGCAGAGTGGAGACACTGCGGCCAGGCTGTATTGAAATCCTTGCAGAGGAGGGAACTGTGGTATTTTTTAGCTGATAAACTGCACAGCAGTTGAAAAACAAGGGAGATAAAGGAAGATGTCCTGATGTTGAATCAGCAACCATGGTGAAATCGCTCTCCTTGGACTGACACATGTCCCCATCCCAGGGTTATCTCAGATACTATCCTGACATTACCCGTCTCCGAGGTATGACATCCCCTCACTGAGTAAAATGTATGACTAGAGTCACTCAAGCTCCACCCAAACATAAAGAAATAGTATAAAAGCATGTTAAGAATGGGGAGAAGTTAGGGAAGACTCCATCATAAATTCTGGGATCAGTTGATAGGCTGAACCTGTCTTGTCCCCAATAGGGAACAAGATATTGGGTGAGAACTGTATTCTGCGTGCGCTAAATTATTATCTCTAACCAATTTTTGTCAGGGATTGCAGCTTGTTAGTATGCTGCTTTGAATATGTTTTTGTAGTTAGATAGTATCATCGACAACCTCGAACCTTAACCTCTCACAATTTTATTAATTTTAGTTAGTTGACCCTGGTTGGATCCCAGGCACTCACTAAAGCCTGACCATCTGCCATGGACTGATCCAGACTGCACTGGAACAGGGGGAAGTTCTAGAAGACCTGCAATATTTTGATGATATCACTGTGTGGGACAAGACAAGAGATATTTTTCAGAAAGGGAGGAAAATAATCCAAATTGTTCTGAAAGCTGGTTTTGCCATAAAACAAAGTAAGGTAAAGGGACTTGCACAGGAGATCCAGTTCTTGCAAATAAAATGGCAGGATGGATGCCATCATCTGCCCATGGATGTAGTGAACAAAATAGCAGCTGTCTCCATCAGCTAACAAGAAGGAAACACAAGCTTTCCTAGGCCTTGTGAGTTTTTGGAGAATGCACATTCCAGGTTACAGTCAGCTTGTGAGCCCCCTCTATCAAGTGACTCAGAAGAAGAACCATTGTGAGTGGGGCTTGAGAAACAACAGGCCTTAGAGCAGATCAAACAGGAAAAAGCTCATGCAGTAGCTCTTGGGCCTCTTTGGACAGGACCAGCTGTGCGAAATATCCTCTACACTGCAACTGGGGAGCATGGTCTCACCTGGAACCTCTAGCAAAGAACATCAGGAGAAACCTGAGGTTGACCATTAGGGTTTCGGAGCTGGGGTTATCGAGGATCAGAAGCCCACTGCACGCCAACTGAAAAGGAGATATTAGCAGCCTATGAGGGGGTTCAAGCCACCTCAGAAGTCGTTGGGACAGAAGCACGTCTCCTCTTGGCACTGCATTTGCCTGTGCTGCACTGGATGTTCAAAGGGAACATCCCCTCAACACATCATGCAACCAGTGCTACGTGGAGTAAGTAGGTAGCATTGATTGCACAATGAGCCCAAATGGGAAAACCCAATTTCCCAGGAATACTGGAAGAGATTATGGACTGGTCAGAAGGCAGAGATTTTGGAGCATTGCCTGAGATGACTTGTGCCCAAGAAGCACCACCATATAATGAGTTACTAGAAAATGAAAGAGGCTGTGCTCTATTTACTAATGGATATTGTCTTGTGGTAGGAAACCATCAGAGGTGGAAAGCTGCTGTGTGGAGTCCCACATGACAAGTTGTTGAGGCTGCTGAAGGAGAGGGTGAGACAAGTCAATTTGCAGAAGTGAAAGCCATCCAAGTGGCCCTAAAGATTGCTGAATGAGAAAAGTGGCCTGTACTGTATCTCTATACTGACTCCTGTGGGGGTGGCTCCAGCAATGGAAGAAGACCAATTGGTAACTGTCGTAGGGAAATTGTGTGAACAATTTCTATTGCATTTCTGAGATTTTTGCCTTAGCATAGCTGAGTGCTGATAGTAAAAATTACTGCGCCACTAAGATGGCTACAGGGCCTGAAGTTGGAACAAAGGTGGATTCATGCCAGATGCCAAGGAGGAGTTTTGGCAAAGTGAATAAGGTGTTCTCATCTCCTATGACCACCTGTTGTAGTCCAATTAACAGTGGACAGCAGAGCATGTTTTCCTTATGTAACCAATGTAGTGTGAACAAGAAACTAAGCGTCATAAGCACTATATAATCTGTCTTTCTTCTAATAAAGACGACATTTTGCCTGATCATATTGACCTAAGAGCATCTGTCCGTGCCCTTCCACTCGATAAGTGGTGCCTGAAAAGGGACTCAAAATTCGTCAGTTCTCCGGGACGTAAGGTGAACGGAAGAGCCGAAGGAAGCAGCTGTTACAGGCAGCACTGAGCCCCGGTGCTGTGAAGAAAGCCGTGTGCACGGTCAAAATTGGAATCTCGCCTTGGCCAGGTGAGTCAGCTGGTGGGAGTATGGGGCCCACGCTCTCTAAAGATGAAGAAGCTGTGGAAAGGCTCCTGCAATCTATAGTCTCTCTAAGAGAGCCAAATTATGATAAAAAAGCCCTTGAAGGGTTAATAGTCTGGGCGAGAGCGAAGAAGCGAAGCTAATCCCATCCGCTCAAGCCGCCTTTGAGGTATCCATTTGGGATGCTATAAAGGAACAGTTATGGGAAGAAATGGAACAAGAGTCTAAAAATGTTAAAAAGTATAGGAAATACCCTAAAGTTTGGCGTTTAGTTGTTGAATCGCTGCAAAAGTTAACTACGGATCAGCGAAAACTTATAGTTGCTCAGGGAACTTTGTCGGGAGTCAGTGAGACTGTGACGTGTCTCCGAGCCGATAGATCTGTTTGCGAGGAGGTCCTAGTGCCTGCAGCTGCACAGTCGAGATCGCTAATAAAAGCAGCGGGACTGACTCAGTTTAGCAGCATGCTTGTGCCAGCAGAGACTGTAAGAAAAGCAGGAGCAGCGGAGAGCAACACTGGCACCCTGCCAGCGCCACCGCCCTTCTCTGCGCCTGCTCAGCCAGCACTGCCATCTTCTACTGAGCCTGCGCTGGTCGCTGTCACTGCGCAAGCGCCGCCTGGAACAGAGCTGCTAGGAGCCTCCCAGCCACTAGATGTCGCTACATCGCCACTGCCTGGAACCATCATGTCGCCTGAAATTACGTCATCAGCAGTCGTCTCATCAGAACCAGGAAGTCAAACCATGGAAACTACAGTTGCTGCAAGCGTTGCCGTAGCAACTGAAGCTATTTCAGCAAAGACTGCCGCTTCGGCAGAGGCTGCTGCTGTTGTAGCAGGAGCTGCCGTTTCGGCAGAAGCCACCACCGTCCCGACGGGGACCGGAGCCGCTGCCGAAGCGAGCATGGCTCCTTCACCTGATTCAGTTCTGCTACCAGAGGAGAAAGAAAAACCTAATCGTGATAACGCAAAAGAGTTATTTTCATCATTTCCATCCTCAGGCTTGTCTCCTGATGACAAGAGCTTGGACAATGGAAGCCAGGAAGCCACTATGCTTGCAATAAAAGACCTCAAAGACACCTTATTGCTTCGCTTTCAAGAGCTTGAGTCTAAATTAGGAGAGAGACAGCTTGTTCAGCTGAATACAGCCCTCTCTAATGTTTCAACTTTAATTGAGAGTGAACCCTGGAAAGCTTTGGACTGGAAAATTTTAAAAGAAGTTAAAATGACTGTTATGCAGTATGGTTTAAAGAGTACTTATACACGAATAGTACTGTGGCATCTCTTTACTGCTCATTTGTTAACACCATATGATATTCATATAATTATATCTATGTTACTTTCTCCTTCCCAGCAACTGGAATTCTTCAACGAATGGAGTGCCAGTTGTGCAGCAATAGTTGCACAATCTAGGCAGAAAGGACACCCTCTCTTTGGTGTTTCTGCTGACATGCTCATGGGTTTTGGTCAGTACAACAGTGCATATTTGCAAATACAGTTTCCAGATGAGGTATTACAAACTAGTCAAGATTTAGCTTATAAGGCATTGCTTATGATAAGGGATGCAAAGTCAGGACCCCCATGTACTTCAATCAAGCAGGGACCCACTGAACCATACAATCAGTTTGTAGATCGTTTACACGAGTCGATAAATTCAGATCCGGACATAGATAATAACATGAAAACAAAATTCTTAGACATGCTGGCCTATAATAATGCTAATGAAAATACAAAACAAGTTTTGGGTACACTACCTAGGAGTGCTGCTACAGCCCAGTTTTTAGAAGCTGCTGCAAAAATAGTCCAACATGAGAAAGCAGCCTATTTACCCGATGCAATAACTGTAGCAATAAAACCTTTTTTGTCTGTGAAACTGACACCTCTTCAGAATCAGACACAAGTTCTGATGGTGATGAAGAAGAAAATAATGCTGGAGTTTAGAACAGAACAGCAACATTCCTAGAAATTTTTTCAGAATTATTAATTAATAGAATTAGTATAGTGGAGTTTGTTGCAGAATAAAGCTGTTATAAGTTTAGGATTATTAGCACAAGAGTATTTAGTAAAGAAATCAGTGATTTAAGAATTCTTTAACACACTTTCGCACAAAGAAAAAGGGGGAAAGAAAGATATCAGTTTTCCTCTATTGACTTGCAAAAGTGTTTTATATGTTTTAAGTTTTTTGTGCACAGGTGTTCTCTAGTTATCTGCACATAAATGAAACCCTGGAAAGAAGCTGGTTCTTCAAAACAAGGTTGATGTTGTTCCTGCAAGTGACTGTGACACCAGAAGCTGCTGTAGCTAATAGTCTCTTCAATATTACAAAAGCACAATTTTTAAGTATTATGAACACAATTTTTTTATATTTTTAAAGCACATAAGTCTAGAAGTTAAGAAGCACATAATTATAGAGGTTTAGAATTTAAGAAAGTGTGTTGTGTAAACTTTAGATTATTCACTATATATTAGTAAAAGAAAGTTTATCTATTTGGTCAAGAAGCTTTAACATTATAAGGTACTAAAGAATTATAATTTTTTAGCTCATAAAACACAGTGATATAGAATTCAAAAGTATGCTTGTGTGAATGTTGACAGTGGCCACTGTGAGAGCTTGTGTGTGTGAATGTATGATGATTGATGTGTTTTGGTCCATCAAATACACAAACATTTTTAAATAAACACAGAAGACACATAACTCAAAAATGAATGGAGTTCCATCCACAAGTGTTTTAGACTGAATAAAGATTTTCAAGAATAAATCCTATATTTAGAAAAGCACTTTTAAGAAAATTTAAGAGCACAAACCTTGAAGTTAATAAGTTGTTAAGTTTGTTAATGCACTATTATTGTAATATGTAATCATGTTATTGATATGTTATTGGTACAATAAAGAGTGATACAGAAATGCAATATAAATTGTTCAAAAATCGAAAGGGGGATTTGTTGTAAGGCAAAAATTGTGTGAACAATTTCTATTGCATTTCTGAGATTTTTGCCTTAGCATAGCTGAGTGCTGATAGTAAAAATTACTGCGCCACTAAGATGGCTACAGGGCCTGAAGTTGGAACAAAGGTGGATTCATGCCAGATGCCAAGGAGGAGTTTTGGCAAAGTGAATAAGGTGTTCTCATCTCCTATGACCACCTGTTGTAGTCCAATTAACAGTGGACAGCAGAGCATGTTTTCCTTATGTAACCAATGTAGTGTGAACAAGAAACTAAGCGTCATAAGCACTATATAATCTGTCTTTCTTCTAATAAAGACGACATTTTGCCTGATCATATTGACCTAAGAGCATCTGTCTGTGCCCTTCCACTCGATAGGTAACACAGGGGTAAATACATCCGGGCTGCTGCATTGTGGCAGGACATCGTTGCACAAGTGGAACATAAGACTCTGAAGGTGCATCATGTAGGTGCTCACATGCCCCAAAGTCATGCCACTGAAGAACATCAGAACAATAAGCAGGTGGATAAGGCTGCCAAGATTGGAATAGTTCAGGTAGACTTGGACTGGGAGCAGAAGGGTGAGCTATTTATAGCCCGATGGGCCCATGAAACATCAGGACATCTAGGAAGAGATGCGACATACAGATGGGTTCGTGGTCGAGGGGTGGACCTGACCATGGAGGCCATCACACAGGTCATTCATGGATGTGAAACGTGCTGCAATCAAGTGAACCATGCAATTAAAATCTCCCTGTAATATAGAGCGGTGGCTGGGTTTCCAATATGGTGAGGCCTGGCAAATTGACTACACTGCCACAAACACTCCAAGGCAAGAGCTACATAGTCACCATGGTGGAGACAACGACTGGTTGGCTGGAAACATACCCTGTAAACCAGGCCAATGCTTGAAACACCATCTTAGGCCTTGAGAGGCACATTCTGTGGCGACATGACACCCCAGAGAGAACTAAATCAGACAATGGGACTCATTTTTGAAATAACCTCATAAACTCTCGGGCAAAGAAATATGGCATTGAATGGATCTATCACATCCCTTATCACCCACAAGCCTTTGGAAAGATTGAGAGGTATAATGGACTGTTGAAAACCATGTTAAGAGCGTTAGGTAATGGGACATGGAATCATTGGGAGGCAAATTTAGCTGCAACCACTTGGCTGGTCAACACTAGGGGATCTGTCAACTGCCCTAGTCCTTCCCAAACAAAACCCCTACACACTGTGTGAGGAGAGAAGGTCCCCATACTACACATGGGGAATTGGCTGGGGAAGTCAGTGTGGGTTTCTCCTCCCATGGGAAAAGACAAACCCATCCGTGGGATTATCTTTGCTCAGGGACCAAGGTGTACTCAGTGAGTAATGTGGAAGGATGGGAAGACTTGGCATGTGCCTCAAGGAGATTTAACCTTGGGGGAAAATTATTCTGTGGTTTAAGCTGTATGTTGAAGGAAGTAAAGTAGCAGGTCAATGAAGAATGAATTTTGCAAGGAGAGTGCAATGATGACCTGAGACAGGGTGGTGTCGGTGCCCAACGATCGATCATGTTGCTTCTATTGTCCTGAGTACAAATCCTGATGGAATAGAGCCCAAGATCT